CGAGATCGAGGCACCTAATCAACCCCATTTTTAATTGGAAAATTCTATGATTTCTTGAACCCTTAGGACCACATTGTCCTAGTAAACCCAAATCTATAGCCAACACAGCCTACCATGTGACCCAGAACCATTTTGCCTACCCATAACCCTGCAGATACCCTGTTTTCATCCAAAGTCTTACAAACGCTCTGTTTTACCAAAAAACTCATTAAAAATAGTAGAAAAAAACTTTTTGACCCAAATTTTTCTCTGAGAGCTTTACAAGAGGCTGAGAAACACACTTGAAGTGCAAACTTTTATTTTTGACCAACTTTGGTTTGGGCGACACGAGTGGTGTCGCCCATACTAGAGCGACACTACTATTGTCACCCAGGCGACACCCAACCCTGTTCAGCCCCAAATTAGAAATTTCCTTGGGGTTACATGCCCTTTTTTAAAGTGTTTACCATATTTGTTTGGGTGACAATAGGCGTGTTGCTTGGGCGACACCACTGGTGTCACTCAAATCCAGATCCCCAAAATTGGCTTTTTTGGATGGAGGATCTGTTGGTTTCGGAAAGATGCCCTTCCCAACAGATCATTGGCCTTTATAAACCCTTTTTCATGGCCATTTGATAGAGGGCTTGAGAGGAGAAAACTTGGTGAACTTATGAAACCCTAATCTGAAAACCCTAACCTTAAGCCTGAGAAACCTTAACCTAGACCTAGGGAACCCTAGCTCTAGATCATCTCTAGGGCACAACATCCCTTTTCAACCAGAGATTGTCTGGTCAACATCTGAATCAGAGAGGCAAAGAGAACACCGGTTCTGATACGAGTGTGCCCTCGAAGGCTCGGGAGTCCCGGGCCATCTGGCCTAGTTTGGTATTGTTCTCTTACCCTTTCCTTCTTCTTCTTCTTCTTCTTATTGTTTTATTTAATTTTGATCTGTTTATTATTTTGAATTCATGTTTTAATGTTTTTAATCATCTTAGACCACAGTTCTGAGAGCAGATATGCTCGTTTCTAGATAAATCTGACCTCATATCTTAATTCGATTTGTCCCACTTTCTCTGCCACATTATTTTTATCAGTTTAAGGTGTCAAGATCCAAGAGATCTTCATCGGAAGATCTGTCTGATTTTCATCGTAAACACAACTAAAGGAAATGGATGCTCATGCAAGATGAAGAAAATAAATCTATACTAAAGAAAGTGGGAGAAGAGGGAGATCTACATCATAAAAGAATAATAATAAAAAAAAGGAATAAATATAACAAATCCAACAAGGGATAAATATTGCTAGGAAGAGAAGGGAAACTATTTAATGAAGAGAATGAGAGATGATGGGGTTGTTGAAAAGAGAATATCTCTGCTACTAGACAAAGAAATAAAGATTGCTAGGAAGAGAAGGGAAACTATTTAATGAAGAGAATGAGAGATAATGGGGTTGTTGAAAAGAGAATATCTCTGCTACTAGACAAAGAAATAAAGAAGAGTAATAAATGCCTTAAAACGAAAGAAATAAACACAAACTAATCAAAGGGGAGATGATCATGCAATGAGAAGAAAAGGGGAAAAGGAGTATTAAATATAATGAACTATGCACAATGAATACTACGTTAGATGAGAAAGCAAGGGAAAGTAGATAAGATCATGAACAGGGGCAAATAGAGAAAAAATTATATGAAATGGTTAAAAGAGAAATAAATGCCAGAATCAAAAGAAGAAGAAAAGAGAAGTTAAATCATGAAGTGAAGAAAGAAAAGCAGAAGGCCATAACTATAAGAGTAAATGTTAGAAAAATCAATGAAAAGAGACAGAAAACATCATTTAGGCTGGGCCCCCAGAGTCAGCACTGATTTAGATCGTATGTGTTGCACAGTTAATCCCAAACTTTATCGGTTCTTAAAGGGATAAATAGAAATAGGAACAAGAGGGATCGAAATCTCTGATTATCCGCATCACCTTTCGTTTGAAGTGTTGCTTGAAGGTGTTTGTAGTTGTAGTCATGGATTGAAGGGTTTGGTAGGATGGGATTGTTCTAGTGGGCTCACCTTGGGGCTTTTCTCTCAAAGCTCAAACTTGGGATCAAGACTAAAGGAATTTGGGCATAACTTAGGCTCAAAATCCTTGAAAGTCCAACCCTTTTGAATGAGGTAAAAGGTGTTATTTATAGGCAAAATGGACCCGTGAGAGCCTGCAGGTCGTTTTGGTGTGATTTTTTTGCCAGCATAACTTCGGTGACACTTGGATTGGTGTTGCGCTGGTTGGAATCGTGTCATGTCATTAATGCTGCAATAATGACGGTCAATGAATATTAATTTCTGATTAATGAGCCTTTGGTATGACCTGTCAGAATCTGGCGCCCTTTGCAATGGCATCGACAACAATCTGACTGCCTTCAAATATTGTTCTGGACATGTGTCGTATTCTAGAGATTCTAATTTGGTTCAAATGAACCAATCATAGCTTGAAGCTATTTTGACTAGCGTCGACGGCATTTGGACTGCTGCCAAATGCCAGCTGGTACGTCGTTTTGATTGTACATTTGTTTGATCATCAACCAATGAGAGTTCGACAACCTTGAGCCGTACTGACATCGGACATGTCAATACGGACTTGAGTTTAAAGTATTTAATATGATTTTAAAATTATAATGATTGATTAATCTATATTTACTTAAAATCCTAAATATGTATTAGGTTAAACAATGGGTTGTTTGCTTAAAACTTTGAGTTTAAAGTATTTAATATGATTTTGAATGAATAGTTAATAATTAATTTATGTTTACTTATTATTCTAAGTAGATAAAATTAACGTGATATTAATAACTTAATGGGTATGAGTTGGGTCCACTAATACCCGAACCCGTACCCGAAAACCTACGGATCCATTTTAATGGACCTAGCCCTCATCCACGGGTCCAAGGTTTGGACCCATACCTAGACCTAGGTCGGGTATACTGGACAGGGTCCCTGGTCATGTCCGGGTCCATTGCCAGCCCTACCACCGCCCCATCCTATATAGGAGGTTAACAACTTGGCTACCCATTCTTCATGTGGCCGTTTTATCTGCCTCCTAATTTGCACTATTCTGCTTGATGTTGGGCTTTGTTTTGCCTCCCCTTCAAAGAGGAAGGAACCTATGGGTACAAGTTGGAAATAAAGGTGTCTAGCAAAAACCTTCCTTACTTTAAATAGCTAATGATTTTAAGGGAACCAACTTATTACGATGCCTTATATACTATAGCTAGTTCTAGACAACTAATTTGTAAAAATAGCTCATTCTAGACATAATAACATAAAATAGCTAAATTTGTGAAATAAAGGTCCTTTGTATCATCATCATCATCATCATCATCATCACCATAGCCTTTTTGCAACTAATGGGGGTTGGCTAAATGAATCCTGGTCCACCATTCTGCTCTATTAAATGCTATATCGTCACAAAGGCCATAAGTCCTCATATCTTTCCGAACTACTTCTAACCACATCCTTTTGCGCATATTCCTTGTCATTTTAAGTCATTACACTTAAATTAACTCTACATCCTAACAAGTGTTGTACTTGGTCGGTGTCACATATGGCCAGCCTACCTAAATCTATTCTCTCTCATCTTATTGCCTATCGGTGCCGTACCAAAATTCTTCTGAATGGATTCATGTCGAATTGTATCTCTTCTTGTCTTGTCACTCATCCATCTCAACATACTCATCTCTGCCACACTCATTCTTTGAGTATATTATTTTTTTGTCCACCCAACATTTAGCCCCTTAGAACAAAGCTGGTCTCACAATTGTCCTATAGAACTTGCCCTTCAGCTTCATTAGTATGCAACAATCACATAAAATTCCAGTTGCACATCTCTACTTTGCCTACCCAGCTCTAATTCTGATTCTAAACATAATGTTGTATAAGTATTCATAAATTAGCTACTGGTTCAAACTCTTGTCATGGTGTAAAATAAAAGCAGTTTATTTTGGAACAAAGGTAGAGCTGTTTTAAAATAAAAAACATTGAAAACTGATACATGGTTTAAAGTAAAGGCTAATAACGAATTAAGGAATATAATTGTGGAAATTGGCAAGGTGATCAATGGATTCATCAAATGAATGTGAAACAAATGACATTATTTACTTTTAGTGTATGAAAAGACTTATTGACTTGTATAAGTCATGGACTTATATAAACCGTGATGATTATAAGTTTTGTTTTTTCCTAATATATGTAATGGTCAATAGACATCCAGACATGGAAATAGTATCTCAATATTCATGTTTTTTGCCAAATAATGAAAATACATAATGCACCACTCCCAAATTTTCTGAAAAATATTAAAAACTATTTTTAGGGATTTTTAATGATATTTAAAAAAAAAATTTGAGGTGAAAATCAACCAATGCGGCCGATTATCCAATTTGGATCAACAATCCACCAATCCAAGTCACCAATCTATTTTTTAAAATCTTGATTTATTTATTTATTTTCGTACATACACAATTCCGACATGGGAATCCCCTTGTTGGATTGAGCGAATTTGAATAGGTCCCTAGGCGATCCCTCCAATCCTATTAATGCCTGCTGGCCCAGGTTTGCACAACCAAACATAAAGCTCTCTTTATATCTTGCAACCTCATGTTATTGATGTTTAATACAAGGGCGCCCAAGAAGGGAAAACCTAGGCAACAAAGATGCTTGAGCAACCCCTGTATCCCTAATAATTATGTGCATAGAATGCAGGTAGAGTCAAAAAGGGCATTTGCTGGAGGAAGAAAAGATTGTAACATGGCTTTCGTCACTCACATATTTTAAATTTGGGGCAACCGTGACGCTAAATTTGCCAAATGAGTTGGCTTTCCCTGATCGAGCAACTTGCCTTCAAAGAGTGCCTATTCAATGAATGACAGGTGCCGTACATCAGGCAAGACCACGCCTTTACAACCATCCATTAACTACCACCAAACTGATAATTAAGTAAGGCACAAGCATGAACCCTTTCATTCTCATTAAAAGCTCCCACTCGAAATCCAAATTTAGACTGTTCCCCAAGCATTACTTGCAGGGGACCTAGTTCAAGCAAATAACTGATCCTTGAACACCCTAACCACCAACCCAAGTGCTCCAATCCCAACTGTGTCTTGTATCTCGCAGTGGATCGATGAGAAAGAAATGGCGTTTGGTTCTTTGGTGGCAATGTGTTTTGCCAATGGTTTTGAGGGCACGGGGAAGCCCACCAGACGACATCGTGAAATGCATGTCTGGCACAACGCAAAACTGCACGGTTACCAGTTCTTATGGCACATTTCCTGACCGCTCTGTTTGTCGAGCAGCCGAAGTTGTGTACCCAACATCGGAGCAAGAACTGGTGGCAGCGGTGGCCATGGCGGTGAAAAATAATCAGAAGGTGAAGGTGGTCACACGCTACTCACATAGCATCCCCAAGCTCGTGTGCCCCGATGGTAACACGGGCCTAGTAATCAGCACGCTGTTTTTAAACACTACGATACGAGTGGATCCAACCACAATGCTGATGATGGTGGAGAGTGGAGTGACATTGAGGGAAGTGATCCAGGAGGCGGCCACGGCAGGGCTGGCGCTGCCCTACACACCCTACTGGTGGGGACTTACAGTTGGCGGGATGCTCGGCACCGGGGCTCATGGTAGTTCATTGTGGGACAAGGGGAGTGCAGTCCATGATTATGTGGTGGGCATGAGGTTGGTCACGCCTGCAAGCCCACAAGAAGGTTACGCCAAGATTCGGTCGCTAAATCTGGATAATCCTCAGATGAATGCAGTTAAAGTTTCACTTGGTGTTCTTGGAGTTATATCTCAGGTATGTGAAATTTAACTTTTATTGTCATATTAATGTTATCATTACGTATAGGAAATCGACTTCGTTGGTGAAAAGTACGAATATGACCATGTTGATGGGGTTCTGATGAGGTCATTGCTCTGCTTTTAATGCTTTGACGATTGTGGAGGGAAGGGGAGTGGGACAGACAACACACTTAATTCCACCATCATCCCATTGTCGGCCGTCTACCGATGAGACACTTATTGCCAGCGACCCCAAGCATAATCGCTATTAAATAAACGATATGGATATTATTTGAATCATGGTTTTAAGATATTTTTTTATATTTTTGTGGGTAGGATTTTAAATGATCACCATTAAATTTGATATAAAGTTTTAAAAAAATTAAGTCTCAAACCATGTGATAATTATTTTAGAGATTTATATCAAATTTAATTGCGATATTTTGATGTTCTATATATATAAGTGTGAGAGGATCTCATAGGATTATTACTCATTTTTTATTGTCCATATTTAACTTTTTTGTATAAAAAATAAAGTGTTTTGTTAAGATAGACTTTTAAAATGCTCAACATTTTTTGACATTTAGATATTGGTCTCATTGTATGCAATCTTTTTATAGTTTTAAAAATCACTGGGCCAACTTAAAAGGGTACGAGTTTTTTAGGTCGCCTCGCCTCGAGTACGTTCGTTGGATTACTATTTGAGGTAGGTAGAGAACACCCTATTCCCCACAATATTTGAGATCCCTTAAATTTTTAAAATAGGTCATTTTTCATTGGTATGGCCAATTTGAATGGGAATTGGGGACCGAACACGTTTTATGTTGGCCAATTTGATTGAGAATAGAGGATTGAACGTTTTATGTTGGCCAATTTGATTGAGAATAGAGGATTGAACGGGCAAGCTGTTCTCCTCTAAAATTTTTTTTTTTATATTTATGTTTTTTTTTAAGCTTGTCTAATAATTTTTTAGGTCAAAGATCATCACCTCTTAAAAATATATTTTTATCTATATAATAATTTTTAAGGTCTTTTAGATCCCCACCTCTTAAATAACTATTTTATTTATATTCTAATTTTTAAAATAATCGACTAAAACCAATCCAGATTGCGATTTAAACAATAGGCCCCACCAATCCAATTGGGCTCGGACATCTGCCTTGGCTATTTAGGGTCCCATTCCCATTCTTAAAATGTGGATTTACCCAAATTGTGGGTTTGAAAGTGGCGCCGCTTTTTGGTAAAAAAAAAACATAAAAAAAAGTAGCGCCTCTTTACAATATTGATCACGCATGGAGACATGATCGCTTGATCTTTCTTGGTTTGCGTGCATAAGTGGTTTAGTCACGACTCACGAGCACGGGTTTAAGGGCAGGTGATCAATGATGTTGAAAGAAGAGCAGGGTAATAAATAAACGCGTTTTGAACACTGTTCAGTTGGTAGGATGGCCTATGTGAGTAAACAATGGATTGTGTAGTAATAATTTGAATTTCTATGAGGAAAGCCCTGGTTGTGCTTTTGAGTCCTGCGGTCTCAGGTCAATCACTGTGCAAGCGACGCCATTCACGACGACCGAGGTTCAAAGGCAGCATGGTCGGCACGAGCTTGCCCCAGCATGGGTCGTTCCAAAACTCCCGAGCTTCAAAATTGGATAACGGGTTTGGCAAGCTGGCCGTGGCCGTCCCTTGCTTTATGTGGGGCCGGCCAAAGCTCTGCTCGGCCTTGACCATGCCAAAAAAACTATAGTTGGGTTTGGTCAAGATATATAAAAAAGTAAAAATAAAAAAATTTTAAAAAAATGAGAGCCTGAGCGAAACAGGGCAAGCCTTATCATGGCCCTTGTGCTAGCGTGACCTGGCCTAGCCCGGCCCGGCCCTTGGCCTAGCCCTGGTGTGGCCCTCAAGCCACATTTTGTATCCAGCCTTAACTTTTTAGGGACTCGGACCACCCGGTACATTGCCCCCTTAGGGACAACTCAGTGAGTCTTCTAATATAAAAAAGAGGGATTGTATTCCATTTCGGCCATTCAGGGTTTGACGTAATGTCTCCACCCATAAAAGGAGATATGAATCATTGTAGAAATTGCATTTAGGGTTTGTGTGGATGAATTCACAACCATTGGTAATTCACTTTTTTTAATAAAATTATTTATGATAACGTCTGTTCCTTGACCGTATCTATTGAAATGTTATTTGATATGAACCTAAAGAAAAATTTACAAATGAATTTATTTTTTTGAAAAGTTGTTTTTACTTTATTTAATATAATTTGCTAAAATCACTTTTTTTTTTGCTAAAAAAAACTAATCACAACTGGAATTCACCAAAAACATTAAATAATTAAATGTACATAATACAAGATGAATACCAAACAAGTACAAAATAATATTACGCTGAGTATATTAATTCTAGATAAGATAATATATTCCAAATAAAATCATTAAAACGTGCCCTTAATATTCCAGAATTATCCTATACTAAACTACCAAAAAGATGTATAATACAAGTACTACAAAGTGTATAGTGTACATTTTCCAATAACTGTTGAATCCTGAAGCACACTTTCCTAGTGAACCATAGGACACATTGGATGGTACTCTACTTCCAAACCATAATCTACGCTTAGAATATTTTTTAAATATTCTTTAGATATTTCAAATATCGTAAATATCCTATTCTAAGAAACTGCAACCTCAAAATGGGCAGGACATAAGCTAGAAAGCTAGAAAACAGGAGTCATGACAAGCATCTGATTTCGATTAGACCACTAGCATCAAACTCAGCGCGGTCCCCAGCACTAACCGAAAGTGACTGTGGCTTAGCACTACGGGGTGCGCTACAAAGCGCCTGCATTAGGCTTAGTGATGCGCTTTGCCCCATTAAACCAAAATCGCTCAAGATTTAATCCAAACCTCTCCCTCTTGACTTTGGCTAGTTTTGGCTATAAAATAGACTTTTGATTACCTTTGAGGAGGTCGTTTGAGAATGCAAAACCCAAATACCAAATCCTAAACCCGCCTGACCCATGTAGCCCACAAACCCTAACAAACCTTAGGTGACTTAAAAACATAATTTAGAAATGCAGTATTATTTGAGCTGCAAATTCATGGATTATAAGAGAAAATAAAACTAAGGTTACTTCTAAATCCATCTAAAATCAATTTAGGGAAGAGGGCCAATCTTTCTCTTTTATGATTTTGACCCACACAACTATAGCGATTAAAATATGGAAAAATTTTTATATGCGGCCAACAATTATAGCTATTAAAATATGGAAAAAAGTTTATATGCAGGCAGCTGTCACGATAGGTCCTCATCCCCACCGTCCAACTTGTTGGAGGTTGATGATGGACGGCGGTGATGGGGAGTTACCGTGTGGGCTGCCCGCATGGTAACCACATCCTTAAAATATATACCTTGTCATATCATGAGAGATTTCAACATACTATAAAAACCAAATGATATTTATTTTCAAGTAACAAGAATCGACAACACTTTTAACCAGTTGTAGTTGCTAGTTTTTGGAGTCCTGACCAGGTCCTGAAGGAAAGATGTGAAAATATTGGGCAAGTACAATTATAGTCCATATGGAGGCTATGACAACATGATGAGCATTGGTATTGTAGGTGACACTAAAATTGCAACCCTTATTCATGCGATCCATCACCAACTCGTTGAGAAGTGACTTGGACTTGGAGGACATGGTGAGTAGCTTTGGGACGCAACATGAATTCGGGGACATAACGTGGTATCCGAGTCAGCGCAAAGTGCTTTACAAGGTGGATGACCGGGTCACTATGAATGCATCTGGTATTGGAAACATCGATTTTATGGGCTTTCGCTCCACACTTACCTTGGAACTGGTCCTCCTCAGGTCTAGTGGTAAGTACTTTTCTTTATAAAAAAGACAATTTTTGTTTTCTCTTAATTTTTTCGCCATTTTTTGGTAGTTTAGAAAGCAAGTCTTCGATTCGGTTAGTCAAGTGAAGTGCAGTGAAGTGAAATGGGAATCCTCACTTTTAGAAGTCCCTTTAATGAATTATTTGACGCTATCCTACTGAATTCGGTTTTCAAGGCTAGATCGGACCACTCAATCCTTCCTGTCGGACTGTGGACCAGTGCCTTGGCTGGTCTTATCTGAAAAAAAAATTTAATTTATCAAAGACCAATCAAAACTAGTCATTGACTAGTTTTAGTACATCGAAATATTCAGTTATTCTTGGTCTAAATGACTAAACAAAGTTGAGATATATTTTAATATATTTAATATTATTCTTTGTTTTTATAATTTTTAAAATATGGTACAATTAGTTGGCTATCGAATTACTTTTGATTGGACCAGACACCTCAACAGTTCAGTGACTAGTCCGATCTTCATATATATATATATATATATATATATATAGAAAATCTCTTCCCAACGCTTGTAAGCGAAAATGAACAATGAATAATGATTTCACCTACCTTCATTACCATCCAAACTTCATTGCATAGTCACAGTTGTCTGGTAGTATATCAATTTTTCATTTTTTTTTCTACAAATTTATGGGAGTATTTTGGTCAATTTATATTTTATGAATTATTTTTTTCATATTTTTATTAGGTGCGCCTCACTAAGATGTACACACATGCCAAATTTCAGATCATTCAGACG